GAAATTTATCTTTTAGTGGGGTTTCCCCTACCCATAGATCTTCCCAAAACAGAATTCTATTACCTTGTCCCACATCAAACCGGATGGAATTGAGGAAAGTAGGGTAGATTTCATGAATTGCTTTCCAAGGAGTAGCCGAAGACCTGTGAGGGGAAACTTTTGCATCCCAACCATTTCCAACCACCCCATGAATGCTCTCAATCACTTTGTGCCACAATTTGTCACCCTCAAATGGAAACCTCCAAAGCCACTTACCTAGTAAAGTTGTGTTCCTTAAAAGGATGTTTCCAATTCCCAAACCCCCTTGTTCCTTGGGTTTACTAACCTACTCCCACTTGATCAAGTGATCCTTCCCTTCCTCTACTGGGTCCCATAGGAAATCTCTCAAATACTTTTCTAGGTAGTTCGCTACCTTAGAAGGGATTCTAAAAGTTGAAAGGAAGTAGGTGGGGAGGTTTGGCAAAGTGGCTCTAATCAAGGTTATTCTTCCACCAAACAAAATGTAATTCCTCTTCTAAAAGGCTAACTTCCTATCAAGCCTTTCTATCATGGATTTCCAAAAACCAACTGACTTGGGGTTTCCTCCCAAGGGTAAACCTAGGTAACTAATAGGCCAGCTTCTGATCTCACACCCCAAAATTTCTGCAAATCTTGTTAGTTCCCCTTCCTCCAAATTGACCCCTACAATTCCACTTTTGGTCCAATTTATCCTCGGTCTTGTCACTCCCACAAAATTATTCAGCAGCACCCTCAAATTTTCCACCAACTCCTCATTGTTTCCTTCACAAAAAAATATGGCGTCATCTGCAAATTGGAGATGGGTAACAATCACTCAGTTTCTACCTACCCTCCACCCTCTGATGAGGCCTTGAGCATCAGCTTTTGCCACCATTCTACTTAACACTTCTGCCACTAAGGTAAACAAGAATGGGGATAGGGGGTCACCTTGCCTAATTCCACTCCTGGCCGGGAAGAAGTCCTTTGTTGTGCCATTGATTAGGATTGAATAGTGAGCTGAACTTAAGCATCCTTTGATCCAAGCCCTCCATCTATCTCTGAATCTGAATCTTTCTAAACTTTTATGAGGACATCCCAATTAACCAAGTCATAGGCTTTTTCTGGATCTACCTTTTTTTGTATAATTCTTTTTCTAGATCTACCTTACAAACCAGCCCCTTTTCTCTACCCTTTCTTCTTTCCCCTACACATTCATTAGCTACCAAGATTCAAGAATCTGGGTAGGCTCTCCAGACGGCCTCTTTTCTTGCTCCTCTTTCTTTAAAGTACTTGCTTCCCCCAACCCTCTAGGTGGGACCTTCCCTGTGAAAGTAATCTGGTGCAAGCCTATTCCCCCAAAGATCCAAGCTGCCTTTGTAGTTTTCTACATAACCTTCCCTCTTTTCTTTGATTGCCTCAAAAAGTCTCGGTTGAAAAGTCCTGCCACATCTTGAGGGGGAGCCCACCTGCAACCAAAGAGAAAACAAAAAGATTCCCAAATGTGATGCACAAAGGAACAAGATAAAAATAGATGTATCAAGGTCTCACCACTTTCCATACAAAGGAAGCACATGTGAGGAGAAAGGCAAGCAGAAGGCCTTCTTCTCTACAGCATATCACAAGTGAAGAGAAAAGGGGATAAGGGGTCTCCACCCTCTAAACAAGCCTTGGAGATCAGCTTTCGCCAGCATTCTGCTTAACACCTCAGCCACTAAAGTGAAGAGAAAAGGGGATAAGGGGTCTCCTTGCCTAATTCCTCTCTCAATCGAAAAGAAATCCTTCGCTACTCCATTAATAAGGATTGAATAATGGACGGAACTTAGACATCCTCTCATCCAAGATCTCCATTTGATTCCAAAACCCAACCTTTCTAACACTTGAAGTAGCACTTCCCAGTTAACCATATCATATGCTTTCTCTATATCCACCTTACACACCAACCCTTTTCCTCTACCCTTTCTTTTTTCTGCAACACTCATTGGCTACTAAAATTTGATCCACAATCTGCCTCCCTTCCACAAAGGCACCTTGGAATGGTGAAATGATCAATGGCAGTACTTTTTTTATCCTTTCTGAGAGAACCTTTGCAATAATTTTATATAAACTCCCCACAAGACTAATTGGCATGTA